CTGTTCCTGTGTCTCACCACCCTCATAGTGAATTCTTCCTTATATCTAATCTAAATCTACCCTCTGTCAGTTTAAAACCTCCACCCCTCATCCTATCACTACACTCCTTAATAACAAGTCCCTCCACATCTTCCCTGTAGCCCCCTTTAAGTACTGGAAGGCCACTATCAGGTCTCCCCAGACCTTCTCCAGGCTGAACAACCCCAACTCTCTCAGCCTGTGCTCAAAGGGGAGGTGCTCCAGCCCCCTGATCATCTTCATAGCCTCCTCTGGACCCGCTCCAGCAGGTCCATGTCCTTCTTACGCTGGGGGCTGCAGAGCTGGACACAGCACTGCAGGTGGGGTCTCACCAGAGCAGAGCAGAGGGGGAGAATCTCCTCCCTCGACCTGCTGGTCACACTTCTTTTGATGCAGCCCAGGATGCAATGTGGGAATTCTAGGTCTAGGGTAGCCACTTCTTCAGGCCATGTCAAAGGGAATGGCATGAACAAAAATTAGTCTGCAAAAACTTTGTGGACTGATAGCTTCACCTTGCTAAAAAACAAATAGGCAAACAGCTTTTGATGCAAATAGACACTTAAAATAGCAGCACTGCTTCAGTGTCACTGTTAGTATACTAGAACTATGTACGCTAAACACTATTCATGATGAAAATTGGGTTAAATATTAAAAATGGGTCATGTATTTGTATTCATAAAATAAATGAGCAAAACCCATGAGCACTTCCTTTTAAATTACATGTGACCGAATATTTTTAGCCCACATAAAGGTACTATATTGGTTTTTATTTTGGAATATATGTCCCAGTTATAAAACAATGTAAGCTTCACATAACTAAACAAGAAAGGAAAATGAATATCCATACTTTTTTCATGAGGTACTGAATCACTTCTGTCTTTTGGGATTTTAGGCATCCGATTTGCATAGATATTTTTTACATAAAGTTGCCGATCCTTTTCCTAAGAAGAAATAAATGCTATTAAACTTCTAATATGCTTTAAGAATTACTTTTTACCAACTTAGTTCTCCCATGTTCAGAGAAAACTGTCAGTGATTTTGCTTTCAGCCAGGTCATGTGGTGACTTTGATTATCTGGTGGGGTCTGGAAAGGCTGCAGGCTGAAAAGGCACAAAACACAGAAGTTAATGCATTCCAGATTACTAGCTCTGACCTCAACAACCTGTTTCACCTCTTTAAGTTCGTGACCTTTGGGTCTTGTAACATCTCCTACCATTTGTGAAGTATTTAGCATTGTGGCATTCAGAGCTTTGTTCTTTCTACAGCCTTAATGAAAATAACGAATATTTTAGAAAGAAAAACTCAGATAAATTAATAGATGCACTGGCTCCTTCCATCTTCTGTTCTATCGAATTTCTTCAAAATAATGGTGTTTAAGGATGAGTCCTTTGCATATAACTTTTATATGAGGATACAGTTGATGGCTAAGATTTACATAAAATCTATTTATAGTGATCACTGTAATGAGGAGATGCTCCCAGCCCTCGAAGAAGTCCTTTTGCTTTCTCAGCAACAGATCCTGAGCCAGAAATCTATGTTGACATCAGCTGTGATGAAGGTTCACAACCAACAATTCGAGATTGGTATTTGATTAGTGTGGAATTAACAAGCTATTAATTAAAGTATACTTTTAAGACAAAGCACTGACTTTTTACCAACGTAACCAGGAACTGCTTTTGGAAGAACAGCGGTATGAAGATGCCTTATGCTGTAGAACTGCTCTGCTGACAGCACAGCACTGCCAGCAGCTGGATTTCAGTGACTCTTCATACATTATTTTGTTGAACTAGTTCCTGTCAGTCAGGTGCCAGCTCTAATGGGTGTCAGACCCATGTAAATTACCGATACCATCAGTTCATTCAACTTTCAAAATGATCAAATGAGTTTCTGAGAAAAATGTTAAAATATGCCTCTAAGTGTTCTATTAAAATTCTCTGGCTTTAGTATTTTCTCACTTGATTGCTTTTCAGTTTTACATTAGGCATCTGTGTATACTTCATTTGCTTTAGCTTTTTGATTCCTATCTTCTGAACACTTCTCCTATAATTGGCAATTAAAGGTAAAAATAATGAAGGAATACTTGTTTAGCGATTTTTAAAAGTACACAGTGCAATACTTATAAAAAGATTAGTAATTTCCGTTACTACTGTATTCTTGTTTTGTATCACCAAGTTTGTCCTATATATTTTAAATATATTTTCTGTAATATATTTACATTCACACAAAATCCACACCCTAGAAAATTAAGATGACGGATCAGGCTATTCAGGCATATTACTGAAATTTACAGAATAACATATAGCTTAGCTGACAGTTTAAACAGGATATTGGATCCAGATTTTTCATACCTTTGTTTGCTGAATTGGACTTTTTTCTGTTTCCTCAGTTTGGTACTGTGACAGCAGCAGTGATCTAAACCTCTGTTTATCTACTTGTACTGATCTATTTATACTAAGACCTATTGAAAAGGGACAATTGTTAGTAATAACAGTAGTTTCTGGAATTATATTGTTGGTATAAACAAAAGATATCTTTGATGACTGATAATACTGGTATGTGGCCTAGGATTTAAACATTTTGTTGCTGCATGTCTTAATGCCCTTTAATAAAGAAATTATTTGTTCTGCCTTATCTGTAAATGCTGAAACTGGAACACAAACATAGCTACCTGGACTTTCAAGTGTTTTCATCCGTACATCAGTACCTCATAAATATACTTAAGTTTTAGAACTACGAAGTCCTATTCAGGTAGAACATACAAAGTCAGACAAATGTGTCTATACTCTAGAGCCCATATGGACTTAAACTGTGTGGTAACATCCTGATGTAAATTTAAGAGGTCTGGTATGAGGCCTCAGCTTTCAGGTTCCTAAATTTGGATCTTACAGAGTATAATGAACATGCTTGCTTTAATGCCTTCTGACTTGGTTACTCACCTTTCTCAAAGTTAAGCACTTATGTAAGCCTTTATGGAACCAAAAATCTTCATAGGAAATGCTTAACAGTGTTTGAAATATCTACGGTCTTTGAAAAGAGATTCCAAAGGAGTGATTGAATGAGACATTTAAAGAAAAAGCTGAATGCAGATGGGATGGGATGGGGGAGGTGAGTATATTGTTGGTTTAATTTATTTTTAGAATAATTTTGACATGAGTACAGTAACTGAGAAAGCTTCTAGCACAGCAGAAAAAATGTGATCTTACCTACGTCAAAACTTGACTTTATTCCCAGTTTTGATCTCTGAAATCAGAGGAAGACTCTCCGTAAAAATGGTGATTTTTCTGATGTTTACAGTTGGGTGGTAAAAAGGATAGTGATAACCAATTCGAGGATTACTCGTTATTGAGGATGATGGAGGGGAGGAACTAGTTTTCTCTTTCAAAAGGCAACCAGCAAGTAGCTACTTCAGCAGGTTTTCCCACAGAAATCAGCGGAGCGTTCCTCAGATTCAGAACTAGGGGGAGCTGTACCTCCAGATGAGCTGGTGTGACCTTCCCAGAACTGAGCAAACTTTACACCCATGAAGAGCTCACGAAATTAATGGCTTCATTCAATAAAACAATTTCTGTACACAGAGCTTTCTGATAACCTAAGCAAGCCTACCTTCAGCTATTTATCAGGAGTGTCAAAAAATGTAGTCCCACATTTCTTTTTCCTGCTGGGTACAAATTTTTGCAAACACAGAATAGAAAATAACTACTTGAAGAAGTGTCTCTTTCTGTTATAGGAAAATTCAAGTCAGTAGTGAGAAGGAAAAACAATTGTCAGTAATTCCAGTTCTAGTTTTCTAAATCATCTGTTTCCATAAACTGGCAGATAATGAAATCTTTATTGGCCAAAAATACCAAAAGATCAGACATCTTTGCTTGGAACCTTTTCATTACAAAATATCAGGTTCTTTTCTCCAACTAAGCTCGCTTATCTTGCTTAAAGAAAAGAAGAACTTAACTAGTAAACAGTAAGTACTGTAATTTAAATAACAATGTTGTGCAAGCCCATATGTGAGTAAAATTTAAAGAACCACAGCTGTTATGTGACATAACTAAAACAAATTCAGAACTTCATAAAAAAATCGTGTCTGGCTTGGAATGAGAAGTAGGAATTTGTGGGGTTTAATTTTACAGCTTGAATTACTAACCTTTTCCCTGTAGTTCACTTGTAGTTAAGGCAGAGTAATGGCTTTGCAAAGGCATTGAAGGGGAAAGAAATAAGCAACTGACTGGGATTAAGACTTTGTACTGATACCATATTTTGAAGAATTCTGTGGGCATGTGCAATATTTCCAGCAGATATGTTTGCTACCATGTACAATTTAAGTGCTCTTCTGTACTCATACAAAGAAAGCTCCAATTCCTCCTTCTGTTCAGGAGCAGGCATATCTGATCAGTATTTTAAAGAGGCGCTTTACCCAGGAAAGTTCAGATTGTTTTCCAAAATTAAGGGTGTTAAGTTTGTTGTGCAGAAAGCTCTCCTGTACAATCCTGACAGAATGTTTATGATCCTGAGTAGGAGGCAAAATACTACTTTCAGTGTGGGGAAAGTACTTGAAATCTGTTTATTAGTTTCTGTATAAAACACATTTATTACTAAATTCTAGATACTACATGTAAAGCATATGACAATTTGAAGTTTATGTTTTATAAGAAAACTACCTTCTTCAACATTTTTATCCCTGATGAGTATAGTGAGCACATGGGCAACATAATAGTTCTTGGCTTGTATGATCTGTAATTGTTTTTAGCTGTTGCTCCCTCTGTTCAAGGGGTGGGATCCACTTGTCTCAACACAGGCGCCTCATGCTATTTGAGATGCCCTTGAACATTCAAGGTATCCACACGAGGCTGGTTGATATTACATGGGACCGATGTGCCACCCATATCCTTCTGGAACAACTACAGGGCCAGGCAGAATGTGCTAGGACATCTCAGATGGCACTGGATGCCTATAATTAGGCAGTTGAATCCCACACAAGGTAGCTGCTCTTGGAATGTCTGATAAACAAGATTGCATATAATAGATATTTCTCTGCAATATCTGTTTGAGAATCCATGTTAAGGAAATACTCTTTACTAAAAAACTCTTTATTTCTTGACAAAATTAACTTTCTGTTGTTCTTTTCTATCATTCTACTATATTATTCTAAATAACATCAATTCTGTGGATAGAATTAATTGAGAGAGCATATACAGTAACTGGGTTATTACAATCTCTGGTTGCCCATTTAAATTTGCTTAAGCTAAAAACCAAAGGATTACTAAGGATAAACATTCTCTTCTCTCAGATAAGCTGACAGGATGATCACAGACTGGCCTTTAAACTTCCTAAACCTCGTATCTGAAAACTCCTCCTTTTACCCCAATAAAATGCAAGTTGCAGGAGTTTCAGTAATGGACATTAAAGCATCTCTGCTATTAGTAAGTTATAGGTTCTAAGCATTTTAAAGATGAGAAAACAGTTTTTAAAGACCCAATTAAATAATTATTTTTGCTCATATAAAAGCACTTTGAAAGTCTGTACTAAAACTAGGAACTTGCTACAGGAGGGTTGTTTGTGAGGTGCCTTGAGTTAGCCATAGAGTCATACAATCATAGGATAATAGAACAGTTTGGGTTTGAAGGGACCCTAAAGATCATTCAGTTCCAACCCCCCTGCCGTGGGCAGGGACACCTTCCACCAGACCAGGTTGCTCAAAGCCCCGTCCAACCTGGCCTTGAACACTGCCAGGGAGGGGGCAGCCAAGCTCTGGGCAATCTGTTCCTGTGTCTCACCACCCTCATAGTGAATTCTTCCTTATATCTAATCTAAATCTACCCTCTGTCAGTTTAAAACCTCCACCCCTCATCCTATCACTACACTCCTTAATAACAAGTCCCTCCACATCTTCCCTGTAGCCCCCTTTAAGTACTGGAAGGCCACTATCAGGTCTCCCCAGACCTTCTCCAGGCTGAACAACCCCAACTCTCTCAGCCTGTGCTCAAAGGGGAGGTGCTCCAGCCCCCTGATCATCTTCATAGCCTCCTCTGGACCCGCTCCAGCAGGTCCATGTCCTTCTTACGCTGGGGGCTGCAGAGCTGGACACAGCACTGCAGGTGGGGTCTCACCAGAGCAGAGCAGAGGGGGAGAATCTCCTCCCTCGACCTGCTGGTCACACTTCTTTTGATGCAGCCCAGGATGCAATGTGGGAATTCTAGGTCTAGGGTAGCCACTTCTTCAGGCCATGTCAAAGGGAATGGCATGAACAAAAATTAGTCTGCAAAAACTTTGTGGACTGATAGCTTCACCTTGCTAAAAAACAAATAGGCAAACAGCTTTTGATGCAAATAGACACTTAAAATAGCAGCACTGCTTCAGTGTCACTGTTAGTATACTAGAACTATGTACGCTAAACACTATTCATGATGAAAATTGGGTTAAATATTAAAAATGGGTCATGTATTTGTATTCATAAAATAAATGAGCAAAACCCATGAGCACTTCCTTTTAAATTACATGTGACCGAATATTTTTAGCCCACATAAAGGTACTATATTGGTTTTTATTTTGGAATATATGTCCCAGTTATAAAACAATGTAAGCTTCACATAACTAAACAAGAAAGGAAAATGAATATCCATACTTTTTTCATGAGGTACTGAATCACTTCTGTCTTTTGGGATTTTAGGCATCCGATTTGCATAGATATTTTTTACATAAAGTTGCCGATCCTTTTCCTAAGAAGAAATAAATGCTATTAAACTTCTAATATGCTTTAAGAATTACTTTTTACCAACTTAGTTCTCCCATGTTCAGAGAAAACTGTCAGTGATTTTGCTTTCAGCCAGGTCATGTGGTGACTTTGTCATTTACATAAATAGAAATCTGTCATTTTCTTTCATGAACCAAATCAAAATTCTCCTTTTTTAAGGCTAAGAACACATCTGTACACCTACATGATCTTTTTCATAACGCGATGTTCAGAAGATGAAGTCTTCTCTAATGATTTTTTCATTTGTTGTTCTAAGTTATTTTTTTCACCCGAAGCAATTTTTGGCTTTACTTCCTTCTTTTTAAAATTTTTTTGCTCAGTGCTCTTGGTTACCATGTGCTCATTTCTATTTTACAACCTATTGCTTGGGAAATGACATAAACTTCAGAGGCACACTATTAAAATTTATTTAGCAAGAGTCCTCTTTTCTTATTGAAATCTACCTTAAACACAGAAGAGAGACCTCAGCAACACTTTCACTGTATCAGTTTTTAGTGTGAAAAATAGGAGCTGCATTTACTTTGGAGATACACGTCCTGAAAGTGCATCTGAATACCTCAAATGGTCTGAATAAGCAAGGTGCCCAGAACTATTAATGTGTAAGAATAAACTCTGTTCTGCCACAGAAATAAGGTCAATAAGCACATCTGGTCTTCCCTGTGGTAAAACGATAGAAGGTTTTGGAAATCTAAATACAACATTATGAGAACTGGACACACATAGAAAACTGTGTGAAAAAACACACGAAATATAGAAGTATTATAGAGAAGCATTAAGGTGAGAACTGTACTTTAAAATAATTTGCTTTTTGGAACAGTTTTACATTAGTGTTGCTGGGACTGTAATTATTCCCGTCTTCCAGATCTGCACATATAGGAGGAAATGAGGCTCTGGCAGGGAAATAGCACTGCAAGTGCTGTTCGGGGGACTTTGATATGGGGCCCAGGAAAAGCACTGTACTTTTTTTCCTTTCCCAACAGCTCACTGGACTTTTGCAGCTGGGCAGCCTGGCTGCTGCCAAATGTCAGGAGGAAAGCTTCTGCACCTGATACATAGGTAAGAGAGACAAACAATGCCCCTGTACAGAAATGCAAATCTCCATGAATTCTCAGGAGTTGCCTATTTTGCTCTTCACAATGTCTGGGAAAACTCCCCATAACAACACCTTTCACAGACATTTGATTCCATTGAGAAAGAGAAAGCTCCCAAGTGGGATCAACAGATGATCGGTCACTTCGCACAGAAATAGAAAAAAATATGTTTTAACTGTGTTACAAACACAGTCTACATTATTAAAAAGGCACAAGGGTTTTCATGTTTTCTGGAATATGTACTGCTTTTCTTCTTTACGACTTATATAATATACCATTACGGGCACTTTTGTTTCTACTTCTATTTAGTATCACCTTTAGATTTTCCTGTGTGTTTGGTTTACAAGCATTACAGTAAGTGCTGAACTGGACATATTTGTCCCAAAAATATTTGTCTAAAAACCAAGCCAGAATTTAAACAAACTATTGCAATATTTATATAAAGTTTTTTGTTAAACTCTAGTTTTGCAGATTGTAATATTTGGCTCATTTTGATTCAAAAGTGTTTCTGCAAGGGAGCTCACTTAAAGTTAATAGATTAATATACTGACCTAGATCTATCAAAATGGTAATAAGGTGTGGATTATTTATTCAAATTGTGATGCATTAATCCATGTTTCAATTAGTTATTGAACTACTTTGAACTTTTGACAAATAGACCTACAATAATGTCATCATTTGATATGTTGACTTTTTAAAAAGTAGACTGTAGACTCAACTAGGAAACAAAAATTCCATTACTAAATAATATAACAAGAGGCAAAAGGAATAGGTAACATTTAATACTTGACTTTTTTTTTTTTTTTTGTAGGAACAGAAACCTGTTTAAAATCTTGAATACCTTAATTTTTTGGTGAAGCAAGTTAATTTCCATTTGCAAGTTCTTTGTAATTATCCCAGCTTCCACAGCTTTTCTGTTCTCATTTGCCAGCTGACGACTAAAGGTGCTATTGTTCAACTTCAGCTGCTTTTCTAGGCTCTTAAAAAGATTACATATTTTACCATATGGATGTACTCAGTATGACTGATAAAAAATTTCAGTTCTTAACACATTTAAAAAATAAGCATGCTAATAAAATTAAAAGTAAGCTTCTGATAATTGTATTCTATTGTAAACAATGCATGAAATTATGAAGTATCTGAAAAAATACTTTAAAAACGCGCAAAACCTGGTTTAAAACATAATTCTATTTTAAAAAGTAAAATTGGCATGCAAACATTAAAAAAGGCTGTACGTTACCTTTCTGATGGATTAATGAATACAGTCATCTTTGAGAAATGTTAAGACAGCATTTCTGTTCACACTGAGATCTAATAACTGCAGCAGCATAGAGGGTTAGTGTAAATGAAAACTAGGTAATTTGTTGAGTAGAGTACTTTATCATCAGAACCCAGTGCAATGCACTGAAATTATAGTTACTAAAACTGTAAGGTGGGCACCCAACCCTGCATGCTTTTTATAGCTTCTCAGCAGGACTTCCGTAAATAGAAAGTTTTCAAAAGGGAGTCTGAATTCAGCTGTTTAAGTTTTCATTTTCTTTCATGGAATAAATGTACTTCAGACCTAGCTGTTCAGATGGTGAAACGCCTCTAAGATTACCTGGCTATTTAATTCCATGCAAAATATACCCCATAGAAAATTGTAATTAATTCCTGGAGGACAATGGAAATTTCACTCTTCGAGTTTTGTATTAAAAACTGTATTCCTGTCTTTCTGTGAAAGGTTCAGTAAGAGTAAAGAAGCATGAGATATTAATATTAAAAGAACTAAATTATCTCCTCTTAGACTCCCACCAGGCTTTTGCTACAGTTGTATAATAAGCCAACGGTGGAACCAACCCTAAAATCTAGGACACCTGACTACTGCTTAATTCAGCAGCTGCCCTACAGCTGACTACAGTGAGTGACAGTCATTAGTGAATAGGAGATGTCCGTACTGCCCACCAGCGCCACGTAAAAATAACAGTGCTAGCTCCAGATAAACCAGCTTTAGTTGTTCAAGGAAGTAGATCAGCAGCAGCCTGGTGGTCTCCATGTATGACCAGGACTAATCCTGTGCTTTGCCAAGGGAAATTAAGGTCTGTGCTATTGTGGCTCGATGGCACAGGCAAGCCTGGGCACCCCATCCTGCTGGCAGGGAGCAGAGTAGACACTCAGCTGAAGATTGCTCTCCTGCTATAGGCTACGCTTCTGACCTAACAGGGTTAAGGCATACAACTTAATTCCTAAAAGACTGCCAAACTTAATCTACTCATACATTTCTGACAGATTTTAAAATACTGGAAGGGGGTACTACTACCATTTTTAGTTCCTTACACTCAGGACAGCACTGGACTAAAACGAATATTCAGTGTTACAGGATTGCATTGGAATCATTAATGTCACAAGAAGCAGCTAAAAGCTTTCCAGTATTCTTGCACAGAAACGTCTCCTATTTGTTTCACAAATACAATGATATACACACATTACCTGTATTTTCTGATCATTCGCTTCAATTTTTTCTGTCAAGACTGATAATCTGTGATCAAGTTCCTCTCTCTCTGCAAGAGCTTTGTCTTCTGAAAGCATATGCAAGGTCTGCAAAGCGTCTTTAGCTTTTAGCAGCTCTGCTTCAACTTTTCTGAGCTTCCGGGATGTATTTCTCTCATCCTCCTGAGACATCCTCAGGAGTTTCCTTAAAGCTCTCACTTCATTATAATGACTTGTTAAAAGATCTGGCAAGTTATGTTCTGAATTTTGGTATCTACCTATTACTTTCGAGTGTCGATGCTGAAGCTGTTTCAAAAAGTGGTTTTCTAACCTTGATGCTTCTAATTGGTGTTGTAAATCAAATATTTCATTCTTCAGTTCTTTAATTTTGTGAAGTCTTGATGATGATATTCGCTGCGCCACTGCGTTTTTTTTCTGGGAAATCATACTACTCTGCAGGCTTCAAAATGAAGAATTCTGATGTGGTATCTTCTCAGCTGGTATTTTTTTTCCTCCTGCATTCAGACCAAAGCAAACTGGCATTGATATATAGCAATCATTTGAGAGAGCAAAATCACTGTATGTCTTTACTGTTTACATGAGCTCACACACTGCTCATCCAAGCTATGTAACTGTGGTATATTTAACAAAATGCCCAAGATCTATACTATGACTCCAGTGTTCAATTATTTCACACATAAATCATTAAAGATTTATATCTATCTGTGTGCATTTATGCACTGGGCCATAGCTAACTAGGATGTCAAGGTTCCCCCTTTTCATTCTCTGAAGCCATTTACATTCAAAACAGCCATTGTGCTCACTTTCCTTTAATAAAGGTAACCCCACAGGTTGTCTTCTGAGGTAAACAGGAATAATACGTTAACACATTACTCCAGTATCAATGGAAGTAAATTTTCTCACTGTAAATCACACAGTTCAGTAATGTAGGCGTGATCTGGGACTGATGAACCAAATTCAACCACTATAGAAAGATTCCCAAGAAGGAGGACCTACACCTTGAACAGGGGTGCAATAGAAAAAAAAAACAACATAGGTTATTTAGAACATGCAGGTCTGAAAGAACTCAAAATGCAAGGTGATCACAACAGTGCATGGCTAAATTTCTCTGCAGCTAGGATTTCTAACCAGCTTTCTAGAATTGTCAGGTCAGTTTTGAACTGAACTACATTTTTAAACCTTGCATGTTTGTTAGTGTAGAACAGTTGTGCAGTTGTGTACACAGTTTCTATACAGCAGCTGAAAAAAATCTTTATGGGCCAGCATTCTAAGTGTATTACTGCCATTTGCCTTCCTTTATGGCCAGCATTCTGAGTGAATTACTCTCATTTTCCTTTCCTGAAACATAATTAGAATTTGAAAATAGTCAGGCCTGTAAATCTGAGCGTGTTCCCCTTTTTCAGGCATATATTCAATTTCACTATCGCTCTCAAGACATTTCAGGCAGTACTTTGCTAGAAGTTTATTGTAATAATTTATAGATCACATAACATTTTATGGATAAAATAGGCAAGTTCCTAACCTAAAGAACACCCCAGGAAAAGGACAGATCTTTTCAATCGATTCTGCTGAATCCAATGTGTGTTCTGCACACAAGCCCATTGTAGAAGCAGGCCCCAGCCAAAACACCCCATTGCAGATGGGAAGCAACATCAAAACAGCAGTAGGAAAAGTAAAGCAAGACACTGCCTAGGGCACCACCACGCCATGGCCTCACTCATTCCATGACCTAAGCTGGAACAGTAGAAAGCTACGGGACGTGTTATCTAGGAAGTCAGAGATGCGTGAGGCAGTGGCTTCAGTGGGGAAAGGTCTCTTCCCTGCAGTAGCAGCACCTATTGCTCTCTTTCTCCTTCCCTGCTGGCAGCAGCCACACCAGCCTTCCTATCTCCACAGCTTCAGCCCTGCTCTGCTCCTCCACTTCTCACGGCAGGGCCTGGAGTTGGCTTGGGCCTGACACCCACGTGCCGGTGTGCGAGGCAGCAGCTTAAGAGGAAGTATGAAAGGGATCAGTTATACGTTTCTGTCTATCCTTTGCTCTCATTCCTGAAATACTTGATCCACTCCACAGCTTCAGGATACAAACTGAGTGGTCTTTGTTCTGACGGCCCTGCTGATAGAGGAGACAAAGCTGGTGGGACCTCGCTGGTGCAGAGCCACACGGGGAGAATAGGCTATCAACTTCAGTGTGATAGCAGAAGGAAAGGATAGAAAGAATCTGAGATTAGGAATCAAAAGGAGGAGAGCTGGTGATTTGGGTAGGGCAGTTATTTTTTTAAAATAGGTTTTAAGTGGATTAAGAAGGACAATCGTGGAGGTTCAAGTAAACAGAGAAGAAATTATAGCAGTCAGTTGAGGTCAGATATGTTCCAGACCTTCTGCAGTGAGCAACATTAACAGGTTCTGTGAAGAAAAAAAAAAAAAAAAACCAACACAAAACTCACCAGAGGTAAAAACCAAAGCAAATGGAAGGTGTGCAAGCATCACACCTGCATGTTCTTTGTAATACTATTCCACGGCAGGAAGACTACAATATGACCACAAATGTTGTCACACAAATATTTGCAAAACGAGAACAACCCTTACATTACTATTTTATTTTGCCAAAATTGAATGAGAGGGTGTAAAAGAAATGAGAAAATACCCTCCTGCAAAAGCTAACAAAAAAATACTGTAAAAACTATACACGTCTATACAGGGTGAAAATGTAGGTTATAATTGTGTTTCTGGGAAACTGATCAAGTAGCCACGAACAAGCAAAAATAACCACTTAAAGTATCCAACACAGCTAGCAGGCAATGATGATTCTTCTGCTAAATATATTTTAAAAATTTAGTTATTCTTTCTGGTCTTCTAGTTTCATGCCAGTATGACTTCTTGACAGCAGCATGTAACATAGAAGAGATAATCAGTGGTTTCTCTCCTTTTTTTTTGGTTGATTGCATCTTGTAGATTTGGTAGATCTAGATTAAATTCTGAAGCTCAGGAGGAAAAGGGTCATTGGTGTTGCAGTCATTTTTTTACGTGGCATGGTGGGATTTAATAATTATGGGTCTAGATATGAAAACATGTGGACATGAAAAGATTCTTCACTGTTAACATTTACATAAAGGGAATATATTTGTTCTATATGGACATTCCATTGAAGCATAAACTTAATCTTACATGATACACGATGAGTAAGGTAGCCAAAACTGACACTTCTGTGCAGATATAGTTTTTGAGTAACTTTCCTCAGGAAAGGCTTTTTCAGACTCATCATGTGATGTGTGGTCAAAATCAGAATTTGCAGTACATGCGGGAGAGCCATTTTCAAGTACTGAGATTAAAACTGAGGCATAAGGATTGCAAAGGTGCTCCCACATCTCAGGTGATTATCCTGCCTCTTGAATCGCCACATATTGTGCAATAACACAGTAGGGAATCTCTCTCTTACCTAACTCTTCACTGAAAAACTGTTTCCTCTGTCTTCCTATTACTGAAAAAATGCCAAAGAAATGGAACATCTATATTTCTCAAGAGTCTCTTTCTACTACTACCAGAAAACAAAGTACCTTTTTTATCATTTAGGGGGAAGATACACCGTCCTTTTTTCTTCTTTTCCTTTTTATTTTTTTTCCTTTTCCTGTGTTTTCTTCTATTCAGTTCCTGATATATCTAAACATTTGCTACTTCTAGCAGTTTCAGAGCAAGTCACTGACAAAGCCCTCAGAATAGTCTGTGTGAGAATTTTCACTTCTGTATTCTGTACTGTGTCATTACCTCTGCTGCTACAGCTGCTGCTTCTGATACTTCAGGGAATTTTTAGTATCCCTGCTTTTTGTGCCATGTTCTGACTTCTTATCATCTGTTACTGAAATATGGAGGAAACAATTATCTGAGTTCACCACTGTGTTATGGTAGAAGACTTAAAAGTTGACCTCCATAACCTATCAGGAATCAGCATGTTATTGAGTTATTTACAGTTAACATGAACAATACTAAAAAATGTTCAACTATATTAAGCAATTCCAAGAAATACTGAGTTACCTTTTAGAAAAAACAGTCATTACTTTTTAAGCCATTAAAATAATTGCATGGTCTGAAGTAAGTGGGTTTATTTCCGGAATGAATTTCAATAGGAAATATACTACTTTTTATCTCAGTATTTACTATGATACTGACATATATTTTCTAAAGATTTACAAAATACTACCATTTAAATGTGAATAAATACCATAGTTTGTTTCCTGTAATGTATACATTTTCTCCATGATTAATGTAATTTAAAAGACGTGTAACTGTATTTATGCTCGATACCTGCAAAGTGCTTTACAATATTAAAAAAATAATTGTTCATGTCTCTAGAAACTGGATATTTCTAACTAGTTTTTAATAGTATTTTTAGCTTTCCATTAATGTCATAAAAATATCGTTTAGTCATATTTTTCAATAATTAGATCACAAATCAGATGACAAAACTAACTTAAGCATTAAAACAGAAAACAAAATATCTTAGCTCTCATATTAACATTATAGGTAGAGGATACAGCAGGACCTAAATCTGCATGACAGAGTATCTGATTTAGAGACGGAAATAAAGGTTTTCTTGAAATTTTGGGATGTTGTTTATTTTATTTTAAAATCAGAATTGTTTGTAAAAACAATTGCTAAATAACTTCAGATTGTAACAAAAGTGTTTCTGCACAATCTCAGAAGAAACATTAGGGAAAATTTCACGGGTTTTTTAATGAAAACATTTTCTTCACAGCCTAACTGTATTTAACACATTTGTTTGCTTTTGAAAATGCTGCAAGACACTTATCTCCAGGTCTGCACACCCATATAGCTCGGAAAATACCACCTATAATGCACTGTTATTGCAAGGATATGGTTCTCTGATGAGATGATGATTTCATTTTATTTGATCATTGCTGCTTCCTCTGGAATTGTCTTTTCTCAATAGTCCAATTTTCAAACAAAACAAACTTTCCTAATTGTTTGGCTTTTAAAAAAATATATGTTTAGCATAAAATATAGAATGCTGACCGATTTTCTATGTCTTTGTGAATATCTGTTACACTTCAATTTTTTTCCCTACTGAGGCTTCAGGAGAGTAGAAGAACAGATTACTTTATACTCCTGGCAGCATTATTTAAACACTGTGGTTCTAGTAAAAATTATTTCTTGGGGTATAGTTCAATCCGTGTCATTTTCTTAGTATCACATGAAGGCTACTCAGACCATAGTTTTATAGACGCAGAATTCTATGCAGAAGTAGAATGTTGTATATTTGAGTGTGTGTGTGTGTGTGTGTATGTCTAAAGGGGGCATAACAATTATATAAAAGAAATTTGAGGGGGTTTACAATGATATTTTAGCTCAGATGGATTTTAACAAGTAGCCTTCACTTAAAAAATGAGAAGATATTTTTAGAACATTCTAACTCCTTTGTTGCCATTTTTGCTTTGTGATGGCATTTTATTTTAAATCAAATTGAATTTCTTAAAGGGGAGAGGGGAATCACATAACTCCCAAAGAAAATTAAAAAGTGTAATTTAGGATTACACAAAATGTTCTAGGCTGAATCAAAACAGTTTCATTACTCTTCGTTCCCTTACATGAATAACTCTTCCTTATGGAAGGCTGAGGAACACCCAGGGTCCTACTAAATTTGAGCCAGTGCAATAACCTTTAAGAGAACTCATATTTTAAGATGAGGATTAGGCAAAGGTCAGCTTGGTACACAGATTTGTATTTCTGTTTAAATTTGATTTGTCACTGTGAACATCTTCTGGCCAAATTGTCTTTAAATCAGATTAGCTTAAATTAAACTTAAAACTACTACTTTAATTTGTTTTGACAAGAAGTGTGGGCTGAACCTCATCATCCAGCTTCAAAAGCAGATGTTGAGAAGTAAATAAAATGGAAAAGGAGACAAAGAGACAGAAAAACAAAAGGTGAAGGACAAGAAACAGAGAAATTAAATGATATTACTATAGAAATGAAGAAAAAAAGCAGTAGATCAAGGGAGACTGAAATGGACAAACACTAGGAGAATGTATGTTGAAGGAAGAGATGCAGGACTAAAAGTAAGTAGGTCCAAATCTATCTGTCAAAGATGAAAATGCCATTTCAAGCATCCAGAAACTGAAAAACTGTCATGGGGAAGAATTAATTGTAGCCAGCGTGCAAAACCATAGTAAGTAAAATGAAGAGGGAGACCTGGTGGGAGAACAGTGTCTGATTTCCCAGACCAGTATGGTGCAGCAGTCCCTCACAGCTGAGCCCTGAGCCTCACAGAACCAAGACGGGTGCCAGGGCCCATCTGACCACGCAGGATGGGCAAGGGTGTAGCTGGGTCCCTCAGACCTGCCTCTGGGCTCCCCCAAGGGCCCCAAACAGCTCCCTGTTGTGGGCCGAACAAGCCAGAGCTCCCCCAGCACCCTCACGAGTGCAAGATTCCCAAAGGTGCTGGTGGGGTCCAACTGCCACCAACTGCCCTGCTCTCCCCAGCCCCCTCAGAGACCTGGAAGCCCTGCAGCCTCCCCCCCCCGACAGTCAGCCCCCCACCCTGACAGCCAACTCAGGACCTCCACGCCCAGCCCCAGGCCCTGCCAGCCACCCCGAGGCCCTGGCACTCGGCCCCACACTCTGCCAGCCAGCCTGCCCCGCTCTCCAAGCCCCTGTCTCTTATACACA